AGAGAGGCAAGTCCAACGTCCTAGCACATGGTCCGTTTATTCGAGTTTTTACGGTAAGTGCGAACATGTTTGACCCTGAAAGCCTGCCAAGAGAATCTAGTATGGTGTGAGGGAATAATTATGAAATAATTATGAATCAAATGACTGTTAATGGTGCATAAAAGATGCATAAAAGTAAGGAAATATCCCAAGCACCAGATAAGAAATCCACAAGTAATATCCCTAATTGTTATCATGAAAAATTAATGAAATATACATAATATATACCCTAGCTGTAGTAATGTCCATGTTTTAAGGAATAACACCAAGTGGAGGAATATTAGATATTATCACAGAAAATATACATATGAAACGAATCAGAAATTTCAACACTTAGTAAGAGGACGGCTCTGCTACTGGCAGCGGCAACCGAATATCCCTCGAGTACCGCAACACCAGTATGCCGGTATATCTGCCTGTGACATTGCCCTGTCGAATTCTGTGAAGCACACCCTGAGCGCTCGCGATACCGGTAGTGAAATTGGATCGCTTACAGTGCGGCAGCTCCAGAACCGTACATGTACGAGTACCGCACCATATTCCTGTGTTGTACCCGTACTCCTACTCATAGCGATTCCGATACGATCAACTTGGTCAAAACAAGCGGGGTTGTTTACTCGGGTGCACCTTCCGTCCATCTTCGTAGGCTGTAGTGTATTATCCCTTACCTCGTAATCACGGCAGGCGCTATTCTACCGCTTACCGGAGGTAGTTACCAACAGTACTCGTAGTGTGGTAAGTTACACCAGGAAGGCATTCAGCCCTTGTCCAGACTACGAAGTACTAGCCTACTAAGGCAATCGTGATTAAATGTGCACAGAGGATGATGCTCCAATCATGACCACGCTAAGCGTTACTCGGTTTGTGCATTCTCAGCCCAACACCCCGTTAAAGTACCGATTAGCATGGCCATGACAGAAACGGGATTTTCTGAGGACTTTTCAGGACAGCCCACCCACCGGAAAAACACGTAACTTACCCTTGTCGGCCAAGACCCACCAGCGCTACGCTGCCGTGAAATTCGGCAACAAAGTAAAGGATGCCACGCGCCTTCTGGCATTAAGCTCATGCAGGAAATGAAACTTGATTGTTGCTGAGAACGGTAACACAGGGGCTGATATATTTGAGTACTATCACACCTGACCAGCAGTTGCGCTAGCGGCGGCTGGGCATGCAGCTCCTATTCTTATGCGTCATTGTGCTCGAATAAGCGCTACTCATTTTGCATCCCCGCTCTTGGAGCTCTTAAGAAGGACCTTGCTCCTAAGGGGTGCCCTCTACGAGTAGTTGATGTATCCCACCTCATCCCCGAATCCACAGTTAGAAAGCATCACCGAAAAGCTCTCCAAGCTTCCAGGACCCACCCCGAAATCGAAGCCCGACTTTTATTCATCTCTCACTATTGAAAGATAGCGAGCTCTCATAGCAACTCACGCTCCCCTCTTAGACCTACAACATTCGTGAGAAAAGAAATGGGGGACCCGTTATCGGCCGTTGCCAGCATCTTGGCCCTTGTCCACCTCGGCGCGAAGGTTTATCTACTTTGCGATCAATACCGTGACACTGTCGAAGGGAGCGAACAGGATTTCAAGAGACTGGCGGATGAGATTAGGAGTATTGAGGGGCACCTGAATGAAATGAGAATCCTGGCTAAAGAAGGCGGTGAGAAAAACCCACGATACCCTAGAATTCTTGAATGGACCGAAAGCAACAGTATGAAAGGTTATTCCAAAGCCCTCGAGAAGCTGGAAAAAAAGTTAGATGTTCAGGGATGGAGAAAACATTCGAGAAGGTTTCTTTGGCCTCTTCAAAAGCCCAAATTGGAGCACTACCTGGCCTTGGTTGGACAACAGAAATCAGAACTTCAGCTGTTGCTGACTACGGCCACAACGTAGGTTCTCCATCCCTCCATAATGGAAGAATCTAATTTTTCCACTGCTTTTTTTTTTCCGGCGGCAAGGCTAACTAGTTGTTCAGGATGACGGTAGCAAAGATGTCGCCAATGGTAGCAAAGATGTCGCGAATACTGGATGGTACTTGGTTACAATATTCCTAACCCTGCCAACGATTTTATTACTAATATCGGATGTGCCTAAAACTCCAGAGGATAAACTCCATGAGGTACAGAAATGGTTTAACGTCGTTGACCCAACATTAAATTATTCATCGGCACTTAAGCTTCGTGAACCTGGTACGGGGAATTGGCTGCTCCAGGGACCCGGGTATATCGACTGGAAGGAAGGTAGAAGGGGGCTTCTCTGGCTTCACGGTATACGTGAGTTTACACACTAGTGAAATCTTATGCCTCAAGGAAGGTCATTAATATTTGTCTCTTATAGCCGGGTGTGGAAAAAGCGTGCTCAGGTGCGAACCCAACTGGGTATCCAAGGGTACAATATGATTTCGTGATTGCTAACTCTCTTTAGTGCTACTGTTGTTGAGGATGTTGAAGAACTCTGCAACTCGAAAGACGATCACGCATTAGCATATTTCTACTTTACCTTTAGTGACTCGGAGAAGCAAAATTTGGAGAATATGCTTCTATCCATCATTGGCCAACTTCCAAAACGGCCTTCGGAGCTGGGTTTGCCGGCCGCGGTTGTGGATCTGTACAACAGCACCGGAGCAATTGGAAAGTCGGCGAATACCAAGGCTCTGAAAGACGTATTGTCACACATTATAAAGGGGTTCAAGAAGACATTTATCATTTTAGATGCCTTGGACGAGTTCCCGAAGGCCATGCGCGGGGGCCTCCTATCTTGGATTGGCGAGCTCAGGGCGGATCACAATCAGGGATCACTCTCGGTTCTTGTCACTAGCCGCCCCGAGGGCGATATAATAGGGTCACTGGGACTACTTGACCCTTTTGCAATATCACTACAATCCAGCACTATCGATCCGGATATCCGCGCATATATTCTAAACTCTCTAGCCAAAAAGGATGGTTTAAAGGAATTTTCGCAAGAAATCAAGAGTGAGATAGAGGAAACGCTAGTTTCGGGTTCACAGGGAATGTGTGTTACGCCCAATTATTGAATCCCTGCTTGTGCTAATCTCGCAACGCGTGTTTGCAGGTTCCGATGGGTAGATTGTCTCCTACGAATTCTGGAAGAATGCATAACGCCAAAATCGGTGCGGGATACGTTAAAGGAACTCCCGGAGGACTTAGATTCTATCTACGTGCGGATCCTCGATACCATTCCTAAGAAGCAGAAGGAATATATTCGGCGAGCGATGAATTGGCTGGTGTTTTCGGCAGAACCATTGACATTAGGCCAGCTTGCGGAGGTCGTTGGGATACAATATGATGTCGACAAGTATAGCGAGGATTCGGAAAACCGAGTCGACACGAAGTCCCTCATGCGCATTTGCCCTAGCCTTATTTCCTTTGAAGACGCCGGGGACGATGAATCCTCCACCCAGGAAAGCCGGCGATTACGACTAGCACATTTCTCGGTAAAGGAATATTTGATCTCGGACCGGGCCGCTCAGGCCTCCAGTGGGTACTATCATATTTCGGAGGATAAAGCCAATTTACGGATGGGGCACGCTTGCATTAGTCGAATCCTGCGGCATGGAGAAGGTACTATAAGCCTCGACAATGTCGAACGTGTGTCGTTTCTCTACCACAGTGCTCGCCATTGGTTCACGTACTTTAGACCAATCGAGTTTATAGCACCCCCTCCGCTCTCCGAGGCTGCGGTAAAGGTGCTCGAGCTTGGCCAAGCCTGGCTAGATATATATGACCCCGACAGTCCCTGGCGGGATGAACCCGAGGATTCCGGGCCTTACCCACCAGCAATCTACTATTGCTCCTTGCTTGGTTTAGCGACGGCCTGTAGATTCCTTGTCAACAGAACGGAGGATGCAGTAAATGTGAATGCTCAGGGTGGCCATGTTGGCAATGCACTACAAGCAGCGGTACAATACGGAAGCGAATCGGTTGTGCAGATCCTGCTCGAGGGTGGGGCAGATGTGGACGCTCAGGGTGGCATGTATGGCAATGCACTACACACTGCATTGGCATATGGTAACGCATCGATGGTGAAACTTCTCGTCGCACATGGGGCAGATGTGAATGCTCAGGGTGGCAGTGA